GGGAAAGAGCATGAACAGCAAAACACTGTTGACTTGTATGTCATGTACCTGGATTGTTGTTTTTTTTTTTGTTTGTTTTTTTTTGCTGCTTTTTTAAAAAAAAATAAAAATTTTATATGTAAGGTGGTTTTGTGTTGTGAAATCACTTTTCAGGACTGGACAGACTATGATGAAAAAGCCAAGGAGTCTGTTGGAATATATGAAGTCTCTCACAAGTTCGTCAAGTGCTGATATCGTCTAACAACAAGGACTAACAACAGAGCTTATCTTTACACACAATCTGGATCCAGACAACAAACTCCAAAGACATTTTTCACTGTTTAATAAAAAGGAGATTGACGGAGATTTTCTGTTTGTATTCTGTTTTGTTTTTTTTAAATCAATACAACATAAAAAATCCTAATATGGCCTCTACTATTTGTGAGAAAGGAAGAACTAACGCCCACAACTCATTAAAACTGACGCCTCTTTATTGGTAACAAAAGGCCATGTTGAAAGTCTAATACATTTAAGTAATAAAGGAAAATACATTTTATCAGGAAACTTGAGGAGGGAGCATAAAACTACAATAAATGTTAAAGATTACAGTGAAACAAAGAGTCACGCTGCTTCAATTTCAGAGCACTAGATAGTTGGGTAGATAGAGAGTTCAAATTAAACATTATTTACTTAAAACAACAACCAGTTTAATTAGTTACGCACCACTTTTCCAAAAAAAACTATACTACCTGAAGTATCAGGTAGAGAAAGAAAACTTTATGTACACAGTCATCTCCTTAGCTGAAAAATAGACGATCTTTGTGATGGTGGGTGTAGCTAGTGCTGTGCTCGCCTCGTATCAATTTGTCTGTCAGGCTATCTGTCCCTGTCCCCGTGCGGTTCTCAGTGTCTCAGTGTGTGCAACACCCTGCAAATACAAGCGGCAATGGCTCCTGCACAGAAGAACAGAGTGTTTGTGGTCGGAGTTGGAATGACAAAGGTAAACAAACAAAAACAAAACAGCTGCAGCAAACTCTGCAGTTAGCCTCAGTTTGCTAACGCCACTTTCAGCGTTGCAGTTACGCAACGCTGAAATAGTTTTGTGAATATTCTTTTCATTAATTTTGCACGTAAAATATTTTGTCAAAAGAAATAATAACTTTAATTCGTTAGACACATTTTAAGAGTAAACGGCGTTAACTAAATCTTAACACCGTTACCCTTAATTCTAGAACGTCGTTCGATGTCCAGACATAATTTGTACTTGTGTCTCTTTCAGCTGAATTTCTCAGTCCATAGTTCAGGGCCAACAGTTACAGCAAAGACTGTGCAAAAGGTCATGGTTAATGGTTTGGATATGAAAAAGAAAATGCATTCTGAATTTTTGAGTATCGCTTCTGGACTGAAAACAAACTATATAACAATATTTTTACAATTCGTGCAAACAAACAATGACGTCATCTTTTTAACAATGAGCCCCATAAAGTCCTGTTACAGTTGCAAACAATTTTTTTCAAAATGCTTTTTTCTTTCTTAAGATGGACCATGTTAAGTAAGACTCTTTTTTTTTTTAAATTTGGCATCTTTAGGAACTGTTTTCTAAGCCTTTTACTTGACAGCTGGTTTTATAGATGATGGTTTCATCTTGAAAAATTAAATAATTCTAAGCGCGATGCTAAGGCAGCAGATGGAACAGCAATATCTTGAAATAGTTCTTAATAATTATTGTTTCTTCAGAACAATAATGACATGCTGACATTCTCCTGTTTTGTTTTTTTTTTGTAATATCTTGATGTTTGCTTGTGCACTTTGCTGAGAATTCATAATTTATTGGCTCACTTTGAATGAGCCACTTGAATGAATGAATTAATTAATTAATAAATAAAAATAAGACTGGATTCCTGAAATAAACATATAAAAATAGTAATGTTAGACAAAAATGTGATTTTTATTTCATTTCCCTAAGTGTCCGGTCCCCAAGCTGTGTGTCCAGAAAAATTCCGGCTAAATATAGTTGGTGACCCCTGGTTTAAAAGAACTACTTTTTTTAAACACTAAAACTGTTAAAGAAAAAGTACCCAAGTTTGTTTACCTGACAACTCTCCATGTGTCTTTTGTTGTTGCAGTTTGTGAAACCTGGAGCAAATGACTACCCTGATATGGCCAAGGAAGCAGGTTATTATCACCACCTGGAATGGACATGGTTGTTTAACAGAAAATCCAATTTTCCACATCTGTAATTTGAATCTGTGTGTGCCTTACGTATTGCAGGTCAAAAAGCCTTAGCAGATGCTGGGATCCCATATTCTGCCATCAAACAGGCGGTTGTCGGATACGTCTACGGTAAGAAACGTCGCCGGGGTGTCGCGGTGCGACGTGCGTTTCCTGTTTTAAGAGATGGAAATATTAACCAATTGAAACAATCCCTCGTCTTATTTCCTCAGGGGATTCCACGTGTGGGCAAAGAGCTATATATCACAGCTTAGGCATGACCGGCATCCCCATCATCAACGTCAACAACAACTGCTCCACGGGGTCCACCGCCATCTTTATGGCAAGACAGTTGGTCCAAGGAGGTTGGTTAAACACAAATTAATGAATTTATATTCAAGACTAAGCGGTTACAACTAAGGAATGATTTTTTTTTGCAGATTTTTTTTTTTTATTGGACAATGTAGGTTAATGGATAAAAAGTCTTTTTTTTTTAAATCAGGCTGAAACTACTCAAATAATATTGTCGGGCTCTGAAGTACTGAAAAAACAAAATCTTTCCATTGATTAGTTTGCAAACTAAGAGGGTTATTGAAGGTTATTTTTCAGAAAAGAATTTGGCATGTCAACTAAAAAATGACCAGGGTGAAGAGCTGAAATACTTTCAATATGGTTCAGTAATGTTTCCGTAGCCCAAAAAGAGGGACTAAATCACAAAAACAAAAAAAAAATCATTGGCCAAGTTGTTTCTTTTTTTTTTTCTGCCCATAAATTCACAAACACAAACCTGTGTAACTAGATCGTAGAAGATGTAAACCCTACGTATTTCTCTGCCGCAGGTCTCGCTGACTGTGTGCTGGCCCTGGGATTTGAGAAGATGGAGAGGGGGTCTCTGAGCTCAAAAGTACGGCGGTAGATGTACTTGCATCACCCACATTTGTAAAGAACAATACATAAACATACATAAAATCGACTTTGCTGATCCTACACTTTGATCCTACCATTGAATGCAATATGGTGCAATTCAGGTTTCCTCCACTAGATGGCATATTTTTACTGCTGTACACTGGATCAAGAAGGCCTTCACTGACATATGTAGACAAACTATTGGGAAATGTTAGCATTTAATCAACAGAACATTTCCAAAATGATAACTCCAATGCTTATTATAAGGATAACATTTTAGGATCAAATTTATGTATAACATCTTGAGGGTCAGAAGGGACAGAAAGTACGCCGATTTGTTGCGTTTCTGTCCTTATCCAGCAGTGTTTACGTACGACGTGTTTGTTTCATCTCCCTGCATCAGTGTTTTTTTTCACTCCTGAGACATTCGGATTTCAAATGAATCTCGCTGAGATCACAGCAGGCAGGGCATTTGCAGCAGCATGAGAATGCAGAAACAGAACCAGTGCCTCTCTCTCTTCATCTCTTCATCTCTTTTATTTATTTATTTTTTTAATATAAGCTTCTCTCTGTGCTGTTGTGACAGTTTCTTTAACAGACGTTTCTCTTATAAATGATGCAGTGAATGAAAATGTAACTGTAAAATAACACCGTTGTTGTCTTCCAGTTTTTGGACAGGACCAGTCCTATGGACAAACACATGATGGTCATGATGAACCGTTACACGTTGACCGAAGCCCCTCCAGCTTCACAGTTGTTCGGCGGCGCTGGCAAAGAGCACATGGAGAAATATGGTAAATAAACAAGTTGCCGAGATATGAAATCTGAAGAAACGGTTTCTCACACCGTCTTTAAAATAATAACAAAAACAATATCTGATCTTTACCAGGCACAAAGCCAGAGCACTTTGCTAAAATAGCCTGGAAGAACCACAAACATTCAATCAACAACCCGTAAGATATACAGAGATACATTTTTCTTTTTGTATCCGTTTATATGTAAACTTTTTGTGTTGTTTCTGTTCGTTACCCGTGCAGATATTCCCAGTTCCGAGATGACTACAGTTTGGACCAGATTCTTAAGTCTAGGAAGGTGTATGAATTCCTTACTCTGCTGCAGTGTTGGTAAGATCTCGCCAGAGATATGGATCCCTCTTTTAGATACTTGTTTATTCTTCTGAATTTTTTTTTCATCAATTTTAAGAAATTAAAAAAAACATGGGATTGGAGGTAAAACCAAGGACTAGGGTACCTTAGGTCCAGGCTCAGGAGTGTGAACATAATGAACATGTACATTTTCAGTGGCACAGGAGTAGCAGATACTGCTTTCCCAAGCCTAGAGTGCCCTCTAGCGGCTGTCAATGTGAAAATAACAAACGTGAAATGATATGTTTTTAATATAAAAGTCGCCCCTGAGTATAAGTGGCAAAACCAGCCAAAGAATTCCATTCCATCCATTATTTTCATACCGTGTCTTATTCTCCAGTCCAACGTCAGACGGTGCCGGAGCAGTCGTTTTAGCCAATGAGGACTTTGTACGGAAACATCATCTGGAGGATCAGGCTGTGGAGATTTTAGCCCAGGAGCTGGTGACAGATCTGCCCTCGACGTTTGAAGAAAACAGCTGCATCAAGATGGTCAGAAAAATGGTTTTAAATATGAATCCAATGATGAAAGATTGGTGATATCGTTTACTCTTCTTTTTCTCTGTTTTTTCTTTCTTTTCTTTTTTTTCCCCCCCATGCAGGTTGGATATGACATGTCTCGTTTGGCTGCTAAAAAATGTTTTGAGGCTACTGGTCTGAAACCCAGTGATGTGGATGTGGTGGAGCTTCATGACTGTTTCTCTGCTAATGAGCTCATTACGTATGAAGCCCTGGGCCTTTGTCCAGAAGGTGAGACTGCCAAATAAATTCAAATTTTTTTTTTAAATGAATTAAAAGTTCCCTGGGAAAGTCTAATTTTATCGATGTGTGTCTGTGAGAAGTGTCTGTCATATTTTATACACTGTCATAACTCTGGGGCTGTTCAGTCATATATTATACACTGTCATAACTCTGGGGCTGTAGATACCGCAGTCGTTTATTGACTGAAAGAAAAGAGAAAGAATGTGTATCGGTGATGCTTTAAATTCAAGTTAAATGAAAAGTTTTCTGCAGTAACGCTGTGAAGTGAAGTTTGGTCAGAATTGAAAAAAGAATGAGAAATGATGATGTGTTCCCGGGGAAGAAAAAGGAATCAGTGATTCAGGACGAGATGTTGAGGGTGCTGCAGTTATTCCTGTGGAAGTGAGAGATCCACTTCAAGCCGTCTCCTCTTTCTTATGGTCCAGGTCCATAAATTATATATACAGTGTCTGCAGACAGCAGTTTTCACACACACAAACAGTTTTGTTTTTTTTTTTAAAAAAAAGGGACTAGTTTTTTTGTGCAAACATCTCACCAGTTCTCTGTGTTTTGCAGTGGATTTCTGGCATTTTTTTGTTTTCGATGTTGCTTTCTTGGCAATTCAAACTTGACATCTTAGCAACCTGCATTAGCTTTATGATGTGTTTTTGACTTCAGGTAAAGCGGGAGAGATGATCGACAGAGGGGACAACACTTACGGAGGGAAATATGTGGTCAATCCCAGCGGTGGTCTCATTTCTAAAGGCCATCCTCTGGGAGCTACAGGTGCGTTCACGTCCCTGAACTGAGGGCGTTGTAAGATGGATTTAAAAAGATGTAGTTTCCATAACGTCCACTAGATGGCGTGACCTTATACCCATGATTTTATCTGTGTTAGAAAATAGGTTTCTAAGCCTCTTTTTTTTTTTTTTGGAGACGCGAGGTATAGTAGTTTTGCTCCCTGCTTTTTAATCTCTGAAAATATTAAACCGTCCAAGCTTCGCAAACAGTGCTGTCCACTGATAACAGCCATTATCAAACTCCACAGACTTTCTTTGCTCAGATAGGCCTTTGGTGAGTTTAAGGTGACGTGGTTGTTTGCGTTCTCTCCTGAGTTATCTTCTTTTCCTTTCGGCTTTGTCCCTTTTTTTTTTTTTCAGGGGTTGCCACAGCAAATCATTATCTTCCATCTCACCCTGTTCTCTGCGTCTTCTACTCTTGACTCCAAATATCTGCATGTCCATGTCCTCTCGGCCTTCCTCTTTGACTCCTACCCCGCTAGCTTCATCTCTCAAAGCTCTCCTTCCGTCTTCTCAGCACACTTTCCTCGCTTGTGTGATTACGTTCCCGTCTCTGTCTTAAATCGAACTCGCCCGCTGCACGTCCTTCCCAGCTCCATTTCTCTGTCTCGCCCTTCCTGACGCACCCCTCACCATTTATCCAGGCTTGGGACCGGGCGCTATAGAAAACACCGGCTTGTGTCCCCTAGTGGCTGAGTTGTAACGTGGTGAAATACACGTACGCCTACATACTTTCAACCTCCACCGATCTGACGTCATCGTGGGACATCTGTTCCCATGGTAACTAAATTGCTTGGTCAATAGCAGGGAGTGAGCCTTAATACTTTACTTACTTAAGAGTCTATTTACTCAAATTCCATGTTTTCCACTTGAAACGACTGCAGCAAATAGTCACCCATACGGATAGCCTTTTTCTTACGTCTCCTCTTTTTGATTTTTTCGTTTCAGCACTCTTTATACAGCTGCCTTTTCTTCGTAGAAGGAAAAGGAGTCAGAGTATAAGATTACATTCTCTATTGCTTAGCGCTCCAACCCCTGATTTTAAGTCATTGGAACTGAGGGAGTGAATCATTGAAAGTTGAAGATGCGTTTTGGTGTCGGTTTCTCCACAAGGTTCCTCTATAACAGCGGTGTCGAAATCATTTTCACCCAGGGCCACATCACCAATACAGTTCTCCTTTAAGGGCCGGTTGTAAATGGAAGACTGTATAGATCAGGGGTACCCAACCCCCGGTCCGCGGACCAGTACTAGTCCATAGGTCATTTGGTACCAGGCCACAAAAAATGTGCTTAATTTTTACTAAATTGACTTCATTCAAAGAAATCTACCATATCCATTTATTTATTTAAAGATAATCTGGCAATATTTAAAAATAAAAGGTCATTCAGACCTCACTGATACAAACAGAATAGAATCTAAAAGATGTTTAATTTTGAAAATGTAATCATCCTTCAACGCTCAGCACCTTAGTAACAGGTGGTACTGGCTGACCAGTCGTTGGAACTAAAAAGGTCAGGGACCGCTGGTATAGATGTAACTCCTCCATAACAGACTAATGCATGTTAATATTGTTCATTTCTGTATGATAGAATAATTTCTCAGGTTAAGAAACTCTGCGTCATGGACTTTAATAAATGCTTTTCAAGCTCCGGGCCCTGAGTTTGACCCGTATGCTCTATAATAAAGTTAGCCATTAGCGGTTTGGGTGTCAGGCTTTAGCGTCAATGGAACGTCCACCTCTTATTACCCGTCTCACTCACCTCCTGTTGTCTGCTCAGGTCTGGCCCAGTGCACAGAGCTGTGC